CTCTCTCTCTCTCTCTCTCTCTCTCTCTCTCTCTCTCTCTCTCTCTCTCTCTCTCTCTCTCTCTCTCTCTCTCTCTCTCTCTCTCTCTCTCTCTCTCTCTCGCTCTCTCTCGCTCACTCTCTCTTTGTCCTCGCACAGGTGACGGCCGTGGTGAAGTACTGGCTGGGCGGGCCTGACCCGCTAGACTATGTCTCCATGTACAGCAACGCGGGCGACGAGCGGCGAGGCGTCCCGCCGCACTGGCACTACGTCTCGTTCGGGCTGTCGGACCTGCATGGCGACGGACGCGTGCACGAGTACGTTTACCCCGTCGCCGCGGCAACCGCGCCCCGAGAGCCTTCGTGCACGCCGGACTGTCGCAGCGTCCACACGCGTCAAACGGACACGGGACGTCCGCGAATCGCGTCTCGTGCACGCACGTGCTTTTTCGTATTTGCTTTATAGAGTAATTGGCGCGTGAAGAAAATTTCGTCGTGTTTTTCTCTCGAGGAGTTCTCGTAATCTTTTTCGGCCGCCGGTAATTTTAAAAATCGCTTTTTCGTTGCCTAACTAGGGCTTTGAACTATTCTGAGATGGATGCTAGTGTTTTCTCACAAACGCAGCGCGAAATTTGTCGTAAGAGTCGATATATATATTGTCAGCTAGGATACAGACAACAGCAATTTAGCAGCACAACATAACACATCTGAATCGTGTAATTGCTTGGCACTACGGATGAAAAACATTGCGCTTTTTCATTCTTCGCTCGCATCACTCTTGTTTATATAGACTGGTGTATATTACGCGCTCGCGCAAGCCGTTGTTATTTGCTTCGTTGCAATGCCGTTTTTTACATTTCTTTGCTATCTCTGTGAGCTGCAGATCGAACACAACCGGCTTGAGTGGTTTTGGTTTCGAGCTGACGTTTCGCCTCCTACGGGAGAGCTGGGAGGTGGTGCCACCTACATGGCCTGCGACAGTATTGCAGTCTCTCGCCCGATATGTCTTCCAGTCTGAGAACACGTTTGTGCCAGGTGGGTGAGTGCGATAAAGCAACTGACCGTTCGTGGCCATGGAATATTATAGTATATATTATAGAACTGTATGTGATATAGATGGTGATAAGCTCGTCCCTTGCTCTCTTTACTTTCTTCTCCCTCCCCCTCTTCCTCTCCTCTCGTCTCTCTTTCTCTCTCTCTCTCTCTCTCTCTCTCTCTCTCTCTCTCTCTCTCTCTCTCTCTCTCTCTCTCTCTCTCTCTCTCTCTCTCTCTCTCTCTCTCTCTCTCTCTCTCTCT